AATCTATATTATATTTTATAGATTTCTAATAATTAAAATCTTTATTTTTTTAATAATGTCATAATAAATTACTTAATGCTTTTTTCACTATATACTTATTTTGTTTAATATTTATTTTATTTCTGCTTACTTTTTTTTTAGAAAATTATAATTAAATCCATAATGTTTTTAAATAGTAATTGTAAATTAGAAAATAATCGATATATAATATGTTGTTAATAACAGTGATTTTAATTGAGAGATGTAAAAAATACATTAGATAATCATTTATAGAAAAAAAAAATTGGTGTAACTACTCTCAAGTTGAAATCAGAAAAATGCGTGGCGTGACAATCAGCGAGACAGTTCGCTAATGCCATACTATGCCATATATACATATGTATCGATAATACACACTGTGTTACATTACCATTTTGACATTAAAAATATAGACTATCTTATAAAAATGGTATATTTAACTTTTGAATATCTATAAATTTAAAAACACGCAAAAGTTGGTACAAAAAGAGTGCTTACTCAAAAGTTCAGAACACTCCAAAAAGTTTTATTTTATAGTTGTATGTTTTACTAGAGTATATTATATTATAATTCAAATTTACATTATTTATGCCCTTATCAGGTAGAGGAATATAAAAATAATGAACTTTAAGACTTCTGGATATCTGACTGCAATACACTTTTTGTTTTTGTCTTCCAGGATAAAGTTTTAAAGAAAACTATATGCGCTGTGGCCACCCTACCTACCCACTTAAAGATTAATAGCGAAACTATCAGACAACTGAAAGTTTGGTACAAACATGTTTGAGTCAGCTGTAGCCACTAGAAGAAGTCGACTTGAACTTGTTCAAGTGTACGAAATCCTTCCGTTGATATTTTCATTATATTAAATATAGTATTTTTAAAAGATTATTTTTAATATTCACGTATATAGTACATTGTACCATCGATACATGTACTTACAATTAGCTTCTTCTTCTTTCTTGTTTGTAGTGACTCCTGCATCAGATTAATAAACAGCAGTTGTTACACAATTTGATAAATTCTTTTTCATAATATAAATGTATGTATATATAATAGAAGCTTAAACTTTTCTTCCTATATTAATAATTAAAGAAACAAACTATAACATTAATTTTAATTGAAGGATTGCATATAGTTACATTGCACTATAGTTAAATACGAATATATATGCATCTAATAGTTAGTACCTATTACTACGATTTTGCAAATATAAAAAATTTTCCTCTCTATCTGTCTTTTTATTTACTTCTATTTTACTAACAAAAAACATATCTGCTTCTCTTATTTCTTAAATCAACCTTGTAACTAAAAACAGACTTTTTTTGCTACTGCAGATAATATAAACGATTGAAATCGACCCGCTTTGTGAATATAGAAAAGATAGTACCGTTTATATTATAGCGTTGAGTAACATATAAACGAGAAAGTTAATTAAATATGCATTTAATTAGTAACAAGGTGAATGTAACGAATAATAACGAAGTTTATTCTTTTGCATACTGTGCTGAAACCAAATTGAAAAAAATATAAATATAAAGTTACAAAGAGAAATAGAATTCTATGTTTGTGCAGGATGGGCGATATTTGAATAATTAAATTAAAATCTTGAAAAGCCAAATCCAAAGTGACCTTCACGCTTGCATTTTATGCACATCAAAGTGACTCCAAAATGATTACTAAAAGTTACTTGTTCAATCAATATATAACGATTCGTTTTTATATTATTAAATGCGCATATTAAATTAATTAATATATTGTAGTTATATATAATAAGTATAATTGATTCATTATCTTTTTTTTTAATACTTAATTACATGGATAAAAATCCATTGTTATGTTTTTAAATGGAATAATAAAACTTATCAAACGTCGATTTTAATATATTTTGTTGAACAATTAATAAACGCATGTATACTTTCTGTTAATAACATATCATTGATAACAATTATATTTTGTTAAATTTTGATTTTATTGAGATTTTAAAGGATATTGATCGAGATTTGGCTAACTAATGATTGAAATTATCTCTTTAATTTTAATTAAGAAAAGAGAAAGGAGTTTCTGATCTCAATGTTAATAAGAAATGAAAAATAATTATTCATATTGAGTAATATGTGAATATACGTTTCATTTCACGCATATGATGTGTATGATGTATAATTTATATTTATTCGATGAACAATATAAGAATAAAATGATATATGTGCCTCATATATTTAATGGATTGACACATATATATGTTATTTTATCTTTCTTTGCATTCCATGAATAACAAAGACAAAACGATATTTCGTTGATTTGTATGGACTAAATAGAAGACACACCGTATATACATGAAATGGAATGCACTCCGATCTCTGATGAATTGTTTCAGAATATAATGCTATAGACCAATAAACATATGATACTGCCAATGCGAGCGGAAATATAATATATATAAACCTTGTAAAAAATATATGTATATATATATATTGATAAAATAGCCTAATATTTATGCTGTCAAGTAACATAGCAAAATTTTAACCTTACGTCTTTTATTGTCCAAATATTTACTGTATATCTGTACAGCATGTATAATTACATAACAATATGTAGTGACCCTTAAAGTGTATTTAGAATAGGTTCAGAACAATACAAAACCGGAGAACCGGCGTCTGCGTCATCCGCGAAAGGAGGTTATGTTCAGATTCAGATGGCGCGCCGTCACGCGTATTCGAAATGTAATGTAATTGTGCGTGGAGCCGTGGACGAGAGAGAACTAGAGAAGTCTAAAAAACGTATTTTGCTTTGTCAACTTGTGCCGCTGTGCCAACTCTGAAGTACTTTGAAGATTTGGCGAGATTATACCGAATTTCATCAGGCTTGGTGAGCATCCAGATGGATTGAGGATTGGCTAATTCTGTACGAGAAGCACGCTACGAAAAATCGTGCATATTATCGAACTCTACTTGCGAACGTGGCAGAAGAGAGGTTAGAATTTCAGACTTTTCTGCGTAAAAAGTGAAACAAGGAGATTGATCGTGCATATAAGACAAGTTTTTTAAATTTCATTTGCATTATGCACAAAATGTAACTCTGCTTCATTTGCGCATAATGCAATTGATCGATTGATAAATTAAAACACTCGTTTATAATTACGAATGGTTGTGCAGATTGCGATACGTATTCAGTACTCCGTACGCTACGAATCGAGGCAACAGTTATCAGACAACAAAAAGTATCTAAAATTGGGTCATAAGACGTTTTTTCTACTTGAAAGGCGACTTAAAGACGCCTTTTGTCACCATTTTAGACTTTGTGTTGTTTGGGGTTAGAGTTACGACATGAGCACTCAACAGAGCCCAGCCGCCCTCCAATCTACCGTTGATCGTGAGAAGGTATACTCATGGATAATCGAACTATCAAATCCAGAGACAAGGGAGAATGCTCTTCTGGAGCTAAGCAAGAAGCGTGAAGTAGTGCCCGATTTGGCACCAATGTTGTGGCATTCGTTTGGCACTACAGCCTCTCTTCTTCAGGAGATCATTAACATTTATCCAGCGATCAATCCCGCGACTCTCACCGCTTATCAGAGTAATCGGGTTTGCAACGCCTTGGCATTACTGCAATGCGTAGCCAGTCATCCAGAAACGAGATCTGCATTTTTACAGGTAGGACTATTCTGTGATATACAGCTTTAATTATATTCAAATTCTCTCCTGTTAACTAAGCAAATTATATAAATATTAATAATATTTAAAATATAATTATTATACTGGCTGTATCTGTTTTATGACCAAAGAGGAGAATTTTATTTAACAAATGTGTATATATAATAGAACTCTGTTTATTTGCTTTCTATTTGTACAAACAAGTTTATACTTGGATTCAAATAATATCTGAACTCGTAGCTGAGCTCTTATTATCTGAACTAAGGCGCCATAGTGCTGACTATGGATAATAAAACTCGACATGCTTGACTCTAATTTTCTGAATGTCAGTTCCTATTAGAGGAAATAAGTATTAATAGAGAGAAGAATTAATAAATTTCTATTATCTCTAAATTATTCAATTATTGGAATCGTCTTGTTCTAGAACAAGAATAAACAGAGTTATACTATACAACCAAAAGTATATCTCTAAGTATAAAATATCACATATATTTAATTTTAGGCACATGTTCCATTGTTTTTGTATCCGTTTCTGCATACTGTAAGCAAGACACGTCCATTTGAATACCTTCGCTTAACAAGTCTTGGTGTGATTGGTGCACTAGTCAAAACTGATGAGCAAGAAGTTATCACCTTCCTTCTTACTACCGAGATTATCCCGCTTTGTTTACGAATTATGGAGAGCGGCTCGGAATTGAGTAAGACTGTGGCAACATTTATATTGCAAAAAATACTGTTAGATGACAGTGGCTTGTCTTATATCTGTCAGACCTATGATAGATTCAGTCATGTTGCCATGATATTAGGAAAAATGGTTCTATCCTTAGCCAAAGATCCTTCTGCAAGATTGCTTAAACATGTAGTACGGTGTTACTTGAGACTTTCTGACAATCCGAGGTGAGTAATCAGAATATGCATATTGTATGTTCTTAGAAATCTCGAAAAATTTAACGTACGATTAATTATTTTGCAGAGCACTGTTAGCTCTGAGGCAGTGCTTACCGGACCAGTTGAGAGATAACACATTTGCGACATGTTTGCAAGAAGATGCTTCAACTAAACATTGGTTGAACTTGCTTCTTAAGAATCTTGAGGCTGGTCCGCAACAACCAGGTCCACCGACTCAGCCTGGTCAACAAGATCCCAGGACGATTGGTATGTCGCCGCTTACGTCTTAAAGTATCCTCTTTTTTTTTTTTATATAATTATGTGATATACGAGAATATCATACAAGGACTTTAAATACTATTTGTAAGTGGTTCTGCATCCGTTTTTACGAAATAGTGCATCATACTAGACGGCCATCTATGATATATTGTTACATGTAGATTCATAAATTGTGCTGTGAAAACTAGTAATAAGTATATTGTCGGATTGGCTAATCAAGTACTTTATAATCATTGTAAATGTGATAGACGCTTGCGGCGAAATCTATCAATTATAATCGGTTTGATTTCATTTATTCAAATTTGAAAGCTACCGATTAATAGCCTTTTTATATAAATCAAAAATGTTTTGTATGTACAACATATGACAGGAGAGTTTAATGTTAGATACGTACTATATAACGACTATATGTCAAAATTTACAAATGTAATTATCTATCAAGGTAAATCAACTTTATTGATTTATATCAATCATTATATTTACTCTTAGACACCGGATATTTTGATAGATTTTACAATATAGATGCGTTACGTTGCCTAAAGATTTTATGTCATAAATTAGCATTCGATTGCATAAAAATCATTCTTTAATACATGACGAGCATATTAGTCTAACATTGTTCTCTTTGTATATTATCGTCGGCCTAATTAAATTTTAAATAGACGATATACAATACATAACATATAATTGAATCGGCATCTTTGAATCACTGCCTGAGATGTGATGATTTACGTAGGATTAATTTATGCACGCATAACGAAGTTGTATTTGAAATTAGTCCCGCCTTGTATTGTATTTAAACGATACACTATGTTTAAAATATTACACATAATACAATGGCATCATCTATGTCAAACAATTGCGAGTCGTAATTTATAATCTAATTTTATGAGATATCGGGACTAAATCAAACACAAGAATACAAATTTGACATGTACGATTGTATACATTTTGCCTAGCTCAATTGAATGAAAATAGGAATAATAGTTAACATTTTGAAGAAGTTTGCATAATTATATCGTTTACATCATTTGTCATTTTTGTGAGGTCAGCCTCATTCTGTAAAAAGAAAGGAAAAAGAACAATGTTATACATTAGTGATAAGATTTCTTCTGATTGAGGATCATGAAATTATACGCACCACTTTCTCAGGATCTCTTGAGCGTAGAAGACCGTGTATAATGGGTGTAAATAATCTCTTATCCGCACGACTGTACTTAGACGGGCCTGTAAACCATGAGACCAGCAGGCCCACTAGAATTGTAATTAGAAAACCCACCCATGTATACCAGAGATAAGACATTCTGTATAAGAAAAAAGGCTGTTCCCTGAAAATAAAGTCGTTTTAAATGCGATACGATATAATACGGGAGGCGTCATTACGCGGTTTTTATGTATGAAAGCAATTTAATAAATGTACCTGACAGCGGTCTCGACGATTGTCGTGAGGTTTCCGGCAGTGCTTCTCAATGATTCGGTGCATCCATCTACCGATACCGGTTTCACCGGGAAATAAATTGAGCCATCAGAGATCGCTGCCTGCGTGCCGAACGAGATCCAAGCGACTAAGTTCAGACTAACCACCGCACCGACGAGTGCTCCCTGTTCAAGTAAAAAGATAGAAATAGAATGATTCCATAGCGAACGCAAGATTTCTTAAGATCGATTTAATTTTAATGATAAATTCCGCGATTTGCTTATGTCGTAAATCTGTCATTGAAATTAACCATCGAAAATTCTGAGATATCCTAACTGATATTACATTAAGATTTAAATTCATATAAATAAACATATCTTTGAAATAAAATATTAGGAGTTATTACTATGGATATAATTTAGATATATAAGTGAGAATAGAATGCACATACAGAGCATTGATGTTCTATTAATGAAATAAACTTAAAAGCATTTGCCATGTACTTCTGTTCATTTCTTTACGATAATCCTCTTACCATAGAGTTGGCCATTGGGAATAGCATGCCCAACGTGAACATTCCAAGTAAGGGCCCGGCGGTTATTCCTGATAAACTTTTACCAGCCTGAAAAGATCAGCACGCTCTTTATTATTGCATAAATTAGTCGAGAATTAATTTACGCAAGTGATCCGGTATCTCGTTACCGAACATTCGTACACGATTACATCTTTCATATCATACCTGAATTAAACCACTCAATTTTTCCACCATGAATACGAGGCCCACGCAAATGGCTCCTATTATCACAACTATGGCTTTCATTATACGACTCGCGCCGACGTTAGAGATCGGCTTACGGAGACACGGCTTGATCATGTCTTCATAGATTACACCAGACATGGAATTTAATCCGGTCGACATTGTACTAAAGGTCAACGAGCGTTTTAGATAGCCAAAAAGGAATACATGAATGGAAGAGCGATATATAGAGCATTATACAAGTGAGATCTTCTTTCATCTCTCGGGGTATAATTAAATAATTTAAAATTTAGTAAAAAATTTACATCCAACAAAAAAAATAAGAGAAATATTAATTCTGTATATTTTAATTATGAAAATCATTCTTAACCGTATTTTAATCTAAATTTTATAGTACCTCAATGCCGCACTGAATACACCAGAAACAAATAATCCCGGTAATCCTGGTATTGCCTCTGATAATTCCATCACAAAGTATGGTAATAGCTGATCGGGCTTTCGTATTTGCTAAAGTACAATTTTCATTAGTATTCGCCGAAGCGTTTAATCTAAGATTTTGCATAAAATCATCCACATTGGTCGTGTTATTACCATTCATTTGTCTTCGAAACTTATTAATTAAGTCGGGGATTTTGGAATTCGCGATGATTCTTATTTTATAAATTGCTTAAATGTCTAGATCATTTTACCTTTGTCGTAACCGGGTCGCAGTCATAAAAGGCCGCGTAAATGACGATTCCCGTGTAGCAACATAATGAGACAATGCTGATTATTCCTACGGCCATTATCATAATCGCCCTAGATACAAAAGGGGATTAAATGAGTGACATGCGTCGCTGTGCATTATGATGCATTTCTCGGACTCACACATTGGACTTCTTCAAGTTCGGCATCGCCAGGCATCGCTGCACCATCGCTTGATTCACCGAGCACGTGGCCAGCCAATTTAAATAATTGCCAACCACTACGCCCCAGAAAGTGTGCCTTACCGTAGGATCTAGATTCATACTGATTAAAGTAGAAAAAGGATAAAATTGATATTATTTATTGCTCGCATAGTGGACTTTGGGATAACTTGATTGATTGATAAAAATATGAAGTAAGGGTTGCATGATTATAATAGAAACTATTATATATGTGATAACGTTAAATTAAATTAATTATAATAAAAATGTATGAGAAGAAATTGCTGCTAGTACTTGAAAAATTCAATCCTCCCGGAATCGGTATTCCTTCTCCACACCTCCGCTACACCACCGACTCTGGCGGTGCCGAGTACAACAACGGTGATGACAGCACCGAACATCATCGCCGTCTGAATAGTGTCCGTCCAGACGACCGCCTTCAAGCCACCCTAAAATGCAAAATCATGTATTTTATTATTATTATTAATTATCTTGAATTTTATTTTTTGTAAGTAAAATATAGTTATACTATTTTATTTTTTTGACGCTTATTATGCAGACTAAATACTTTTTATCTTGCATTTAACAATGTCGTAATTTGAGGACAGTAATTTTCATTGACAATTACATCTTTTTTCTATAAAATAAATAAAATAAACAGTTCTGCATTGAATCAATTTTCAGATTTACGAATTATGTTCTTACCAACGTCGTGTAAAAGATGCAAACGGCGCAGACCATTAACGCGATCGTATAAAGGTCCATTCCGGTCGCCTGATTGAAGGCTAGCGCCGGCACGTATATCACCAGCGGTATGTAAAGCAGCTGTAAGCGCAAAATTGCTCAACGTGTTAAATTGCTTGCGAGATCAGCGCGTATCGAGTTCAATGCTTCGAGGAATCTTCGATACGTAAAGATGTATTGCAATACATTATGCTGATAAGGTTTGGTAAATATATACATACATGTATATTACGTGTATACCGATCTTAAAAAGAGATTGGCAAGAACAAGAGGGAATAAATTCTAAACACGAATTCTTTAAATTATTAAAAGACAAAAGTTTCCAAATTTATTTACATACGTAACAGAAACAAACTTACCATTTTGATGATGAAGATAAAAGATCCCATGAGCCTGACTACTCGATTGAATCTTAACTCTAAATACTGCGAAAAAAAAGTACTATGTGTCAAGATACCTTGTTATATACAAAAAGAATGTTTTTGGTAATGTATTATATAAAAATAATTATGTAAGACATTCAAACTGGTTGCTAGAATGTCAAAACTTTTTGCACCTCTATACTTGAACGTCCTACAATTATTTTAAAAGTCTAACAAAAATTATTTTTAGATCTGTATGTCGCGCTTTAATTATTTTATTCTTTAAGCTGCTTTACTTCAGCAAAATAGTTCTTTCCAAATGAAATTACTTACGTACCTCGTAAGATGACGTAATTCGGAGTCCGTAGAAAACCGGTAGATACACGATCGCCATCGTAATGGACACAAAACTATCCGCTATCACGACACACCATAATTGTGTGCCGTAAACGTACATTTCGGCTGGCAATCCCAACATTGCTATGCCCGACACGTAGCTACAATTTTAAGGGGCTGTCTTTAGAATTACTCGTAATCATGCAGCATTTAAACAAGGCAAATTTAAATGTCACTAATTCTCAATTTTTTTCTGGCAAATAGGCAATTACTCAATTTAATGTTGTTAATAGCGAACGTGATGTTGTGAATTAAAAGTAAATATGCAGAGTAGCAAAGAATAATTTTGTCCCTAAAAATCGCATTTTGTTATTATCGATGATTTAAGTAATTTTTATAATTAATATAATAAACATATAATGTTTTAAAATGAAAATTATGTATCTTAATTAATTCATATAAAATACAATTTTACAATTTTATCGAGGAACGTATACTTAAATAAAAAGTAAAGCAATTCAC